TTTTGTTTCTCATAAAATTCCCATATCATTAACAATACCGCAAATATAAACATCTTAAACTTTTATGTTACAAACATACAAGTTTAAATATAGAACTATAAGTATCATTATCAACAATCGATCAAACACATTCGTCACGAGTGCGTTTAACGTGAATATCGCGACCATCTGCATGTTTGTTCGTAATTTTTTTCTTTTTTTTTTTTCCTCTACAACCAGTACAACCTGTCATATTAACGGCACATTATTTTTTCAATTAAATTAATCGACCACCTTCGTAACCAACGTTAATTTTTCAATGACTACCAGTTTTCTTCTCAAGATGTTCCGTATGTTTTACATTCATTCAGAATTCTATCTTGTCTTGTTTTTGCTATCGCTACTTCATGCGATTCAATACTAGATCGCAGACCACTTGCAGTCCTTTTTGGTATGGACTCTCGGCTAAAGACTGTGCAAGTTTCATGGCCTCGATGCAATGTTTCCGCGCCAAAAATTTCGTCTGGTCAAGACCTTGCGACTTGTGCACTAGATCAAACGCTTTCTCCACGTCCCCTGGCTCTTGAAATCGACGCATGATCATCGCGTTCAATTCTGGATACTGTAACGAGGATAGAATGTTTATTAAAAATTAAAAGGACAGATCGTAATATTTTCCCAAACTATATATAGCACCTTCCCCTACTATAGCACCTTGATTACGTTCAATCGAACTATGTATTACCTACAAGTTACCTATGTATTACCTACAAGTTTTCTTCTATGTGAATCGAACAATATGAAAAAGTCAAATCAAAATTATTTCTTAAAAAAAATATTATGGACTATAATATTATTTTTATACTATAAATACAATATATATATGTGTGTGTGTGTGTGTGTGTGTGTGTGTGTGTGTGTGTGTGTGTGTGTGTGTGTGTATTCTTTAATTAAATTATAAATATTATAAATTATCACTTCCTTACCCGTTCACAGGCGAAAAGAACTGGAGCAGTTGCAAGACCTAATTTCAAATCCGCTGCAGTAGGTTTGCCCATTGTTGACAAAGTCGAGACAAAATCCAAAAGATCATCGACTAATTGAAATGCTAAACCGATGTTTCTTCCGTACTGGAAGGCTAATTCAGCCAATTGTTCATCAGCATCCGCTAACATAGTCACCTACAATTAATATATTTATTTATTGTTCGTTTCATTTATGTGCTTCACATATCCATTCATTATATTTAGATACTTAATATTTTGAATATATATTATGATGAAAAGAATTTGAATATCACGATCAACATCAGCTATATTTACCGCTTTTAAGGAATTAGCAACTAAGCTGGCTGTCTTGCGATATGTTTTCGTAAGGTAATGTGCGAATCTCTCGTTCTCTGTCTCCTTCGAGCCAAGTTGCATAAATTCACCCTGCACCAGGTCCGTCACAACCTGGAAAGCACCTAGACTTGTCAATACTTATCATCAGGATTATATCAGGATCCTAGAATATGTGGATACTCTTACGCATCCGTTCAAACATTAATTACATTAATTAGCAGTGTGTAAATAACAAACCTTTTTTTATTGAAATTAATAAAACGCTTTGTACATAATATTCTGTAAAATATTCATTCATAAATATAATTTATGAACTTTACCTGACTGAGCGTGAGGGTGACATTGTCATTTCGCAGTTGAGCTATCATAATTGAGGCGACTGCCAGAATGTAATCTCCCGTCATAGTCACCTAAAAACCAAACAAAATTTGAAATTTACATTTAAAAATCAGAAGTTTCAAAAAATTCAATTTATTAAACGTGTATTTTCAAATATCATTCGAATGAAAACGGGCATTTATTTCACAAAGAGTGAAAATACGATATGAAATGTTTGTTTACGATTAATTGGAAAGCGATGGAAAGCGATAATTAAATTTTATATTATAAATTATAATGGTCCCATATTTTCTCTATTTAGAAAGTAATCTTGACATTTTAATAATCAAAACTGATTATAGAAACGTAAATAACGAAGTCAATTAACGATAATATACACATAACAATAATCATTAAACTATAGATGTTTATTTTTACTTTTTAATTAGCATTTTTATTATGGCATTTCATGTTCATTTTACAACGCAAGATTCCAGAAGTCTACAGAATGCCTATAAACGTGCAAAAAATACAATATTTGAAACAAATTTTCATTTAGATTTTATTTCTTTAATTATATCCATATATTTTATATATCCATGAATAATAATATTTAAAGAAAAAATCTAAAATAAAAACGTCAAGGTTAATTCTCGGAAGAATTCAGCGAGAGAGATTTTATCGTTTGACCTCTATTTTATTAAGAACGATAGATAGATTGTAGATCGCCTTTCATACATTGTAAAAGTTAAAAAAGATGAAACGGCCATGCACGATTAAGGAACGCGTTTCCTTTCACTGAACATCTTTCGAAACAGAAGCAGAGAAGTTGGAGCGTGTAAATGTTTGATATCGAAGGATGACACATGCGTTTGCCTTCATAATAGTTCCCTCTCTCGTCTCCTTATTTTTCTTCTTTTAAATAGCATATAAAAAAAGTTCCATCGAAAGATCAAAAAGAGGTGACTGCGAATTAATTTATCACGATTACGATTTTTATCCTTATTTGATTTTGTCCGAGGAACTCGATGATCTTACTCAGCAATCGAGATTGCTGAGCAATCCGAGAGGAGACCACTTTCTTTTATTCGCATTACACACATGGACACAGTTTCGGCCTACGATTAAGGTAAAAGTGTATACAGAAAGCGTAAAATGGGTGAATGTGATGAAGAACTTTTCAAACACTTGCGGAAAATAATTTTCATTGTGATTATTATTTCAGGGGAAAAACTAGAATAAAGATATCGACTTTTGATACATAAAATGTACGTTTGAACGTTTTCACCTAGTAAATATATATGTTAAACAAAAAATATACAAAATCAAAAAGAATGAATCTACATTTAATTTTGTGGCAAAGACTCTCCAATCTACATTCAGATTTTTTACGTAGAAAAATTGGTAGTTTTTCGTTGTAAAAGTAAATACAGATTTTATTTCTTTAGTACTATTTTTGTTATATTAATAAATATAAATTCCATAAAAACCTGTATTTCTACATTCAAATTTTTCACCTAGAAGAATTGGTAATTCTACATCATAAAATTAAACGTAGAAGTTTATTCTTCTCTGCTTCATGTATCTTTTGTCTGAGACACTGTATACATGAATCTGAATTTCTATGAAAACCTGCATTTCTACAAATCTACATTCAGATCTCTTCACCTGGAAGAACTGGTAATTCTTCATTACAAAACTGAATTGTAGATTTATTCCTTTTGGTTTCATGTATTTCTTGTTCGAGGCGCTGCATCTACGTGAATACAAATACCCATGGAAATTTGCAATTTATTAACAACCATTTTTAAACAGCTACGAAGAAAAATCACAAGACAAAAAATGAACTCTCTATTTTCTACAAAACCAAAAAAAAAAAAAAAGGAGACACGTGCACGTTACGAAAATTATCATAACAGAAATAGATTTCAATGGCTCTTAGATATTCCCTATTGACTACTCACAACTTGTTAAGTATCGAATTGTTTGAATATCCATCGGTTCCATTAAATCTGAGCATGACTAACCCATAATATTACAGCACAAAATAAACACGATCTTTTGACAACAAATTGGTGAAATCTCACCGTTGCCGATAATGATCGACCATTTAAACACATTATTAAATGTTTAGAATATGAGGTGACGCCGGGAAGTCAGAGAATAGTGTCTGCCAATGTTTAAAAGTCATTAGGAAGGAATGGTTTCAGAGTATTGTAGCTGGTGCACGATGTATTCATTCGGCGATTTCTTTTGCTCACCACAAGGAAAACGCATCGAAATCGAAACGCACGCGCATCGTCGCCGACGATCCATTCTACTCGTTCGGTGATTTAACGCGCGACACAGACCATCCTGGCCCTTATTTGCATTGCAGCGACTTTCTAGCCGCCGTCGAATTGAAAAACGCCACGCAAGAAACTTTGCCTCGTTTCTTTGATTGAAATAAGAAAGTACGTTGATTATTTCAGTTTAGATCTCTCTAATTACGATTGTTACGTAGAAGCCATTTTGAAACTAGCCTGTGCTTAAGTCTGCTACGATCCTCGAATTTTTATATTTTAATATTACTCTAACTTTGTTTTAGTAAATAAAATGAATATTTTAATATATTTAACGTAAAACTTAATTGGGAAATTATACGTATTAAGAAGACAAGAACTTTTCTTGTATATATCTTTGTTCGAACATGAGATATGTTTTAACTTTAGAGAAATATTAATCGGTCGAAAAAATGATAGAAAGAAAAATTTTCCATACTTTATATTTTTTGATATTTGTCTTACTTATGTTAGTCTTAGTTGTATTGTCTTAGATATGTAACATTTTCAAAAAATAATTTCATCGCAGTCTTTCAACTTTTATAAAATATTATATTACAATAAATGCTAATTTATAGTGTTATTTAGTTATTTATATTGTTTAACACTTTCTTGACTACAATGTCCATCTTATTTTAATCTAAAGTATTTATAGAAATTACAACTCGATCGAAAATAAATATTACATACCGTTTACATATATTTAGAAATCGGAGATAAATTATATTTAAAAGAATTGAAAATATACCTGTCTTGATTGTACCGTAATTATAATTACGCGACGAGTGATATAAATATTAAAATATGAATTTGCTATGAAAAGCTAGTAGTCTAAATAAAATATTAAATAAAAACATTTGCCAAAATTGAGATATACGTATGTATTAATATATTAAGAATAAATATTTCACATAAAAAAAAAATTTTATCATCTATACAATAAAAATACTGACGACTTTTAAGTGGCAGTAATTTTTTTTTTCTAATACCAATTACTTGTAATAAATTAAGCTTTTCGCCTAATAAATAAAATCAAGAAAAACAATGATAAAAATTGAAACAATCATAGCAATATTATATAAAAGTAATACAAGTATTTATAAAGACCAATATGTATTATTTAGATTCTTAAGTCTGGGTGAATAATATGAAACAAAATGGTGGAAATTTTCTCTTTTTACGTTTCATCTTTTCACCTTGAAATTTCGCAAGCAAGGAAGAAAACGAGAGAGGAGCTCATTGATTATGCCGGAACAAAATATTCTAGGAACCTATCCACCCGAATATACGATGTTGTATATCAAATATTCAACACGTGTCCCATCATTTCGGCGAAGCTATGACTTTAAATGGAACTGGACGGTAAACGCGTCAATGTTACGTCAAATATTAACTCAACTCTTATTGAAATCATTGTGATTGAGAAGTCCAAAGATCGCGATTGAATATTGGAGAATATTCTGTCAAATATTAGAGAAAATTTTTTTCGCAAATATTCCATTTATATACACATTTACATTCGCAATCTCTTCGTCCTCTAAAATAGAACTCATTTTAGTTTAATAGTTAGAGTTTAATCCATTATGGATCAAGCAATAATTGGTATCATCTTATAATAATCATTAAATATTATAGTATTCGTATTATACATTTCAATTTTTTGTAATTTCATAAAATCATAGAATCTCGAACATCTATTATAAGTAATTATTATTAAAATATTAATAAAATATTATTTTAATAAATAGTTAGTTATTCTGTCATCGTAATAATAATAATAAAGTAGTTTTAAATTAAGTTTAAATTATAATATATCTAAATTAGTATTTAGAAAGAGAGAATTCAATTTTTACAATATAATTCAATTATGTGTGCATCTTATAGTGTAACTTAAATTTTTATCACTTTATAAATCTTTTATTGAAAGAGAATTTTACACTATTTATTTCAAAAAAAAGAAGGAACAGCTCATATATTTTAAGAAATGATTATCTTATTTATCTGAGTACTTCTAACTCCATTTTGTTTACTATTTTTATTACATTTTTACGAAGCGAAAAAACCCAATCCCAACTCTTTCCAAACCGTTTCGACGTTTTCAAAGTATATTTTCAAAGTATATTTTACCAATTTTACATTTACACGTCATCTCCATCGTCCTCGCCGTAAACTATTTCAATACTTTCACTACGCGTTATCTCTCTCGCTCTCGAAAAGAATTTAAAAACATCTTCTATCCAGTGAATAAATAATCAAAAATAATCCAACTCGTAACTTAAAAAAAGATAAGGAGAAGAAAATAAAACAAAAACTAAAGAAATACAAAAAACATTCTGCCTAAGTTAGAGACTAAATCTAACTCAAAGTACGTAACCAATTCGACGGATTTCAGGAAATGTTTCGACTCCGTTGTCCCACCTGACAATGGCTCATGCGTCGTAATTTCGAGTTTCACATTCGGCATCCTCTCGTCGCTTGCTTTTCACGCGTGTCACCCGACAAAGCGACCGTGGTCGGGCTTTCCTTTCGAAAACACAGTGCGTTTTCGCGTGTATCTTTATCGAGATGCTGACGATCATTACAAAACACTGCGAGTTTCGCAAAACAGACGTGAATCAGCGCGGCGAGCAACCTCAGGGTGCAGCCTCAGCCTAATATACATTCGAGGCTACATTTAGGAAATAACTTTTGATCAACGAGACGGATCGAAGATGTTGTAATGCACGTCTACCATCACTGCTAAAAAAAAAAAAAAATCGATTACTGTAATA